AGGACAGCTAGATAGAAACTAGAAGAAAAAAAAGAAGAGAAGCAGAGACTTGTAGTCAGGATATAAAAGAGAAAGGTCAGAAACAGGCCAGGAGAACTCCACCCCCTTCACCTGTGAGGAATACAAAGAGGGTGCTTTGGACCTAGCAACACAGGTAACAAGGTACAGTACATCTAGAATCAGACGGGTGTCTGAGCAAAGTTCTTGTCAAGAGCTGAATGAGGCTGGAATGGGTCTTCCTTCAACAGGTTCTTAAGGCCCTATTTAGAAACTTATGGATTGCTTGCCTCATGCCCCAAGAGGAGAGGCCTGAGGATGTGGCTGCTGTAGACTCCCTCCAGGAATGAGCAGAAAAGTGGGAGTAGGGAGAGGATTCTGGGAAGATGGCAAAGCAGGTCAGAAAATTTCAAGCTCTCAAGATTTTCCTCCACAAAAGAGATAAAATAACATCTCTGGGCTAATTTAGATCTGTGAAAACAAATAAGAGTAGGGGCAGAAGAGGGGTCATCTTGGGAAAATTGGAGAAGATCTGAAGAAAAATCCCAGGATGAGATTTCCTCTCCCTGAAGAGCAAACACCTCCAGGCTAGAGTCCGATTTAACAAGTGGCAAGCCCTGAGGGTCGGCTGGTTTGGGAGGCTGTCTTGGCCCCAGCCACAGGAACTTTTACCCCAGGGCCAATGAGGGGAGTTGGGCATCTGACCTGGGGAAGATTGAGGGAACCTCTGCTGAAGGGGAATGCCAGACCCAGCTGTGCTTCGGGGACAAGGTGGGGGCGAGAAGGAACCAGCACACATCCGGTGAGTGCAGAAGCAGTGGGGCGGGATACGGCTTTGTTGTGGGCCCTTACAGGAGGCTGGAGGTCTTGGTTTGAGTTCAAGGTCAGAAGGAAAAACTGAAGATTAGAGGCCAGAGGCACCACCCCTCATACCCCAGGACTAGAGGTGATTATGCAAACTAAATTATTACCAAAAAAAAAAAAGCACAGGCAAAGGAGAAAGAGCTCAACCATAGAGAGCTACTGTGGGAATAGAGAAGATTGAGGTGCATCTTCAGAGGAGGAAAAGGAAGCAAAGAAACCCTCTTCTACCCCAGAGTAACGTCTAATGGTCACCAGTGAAGAACTTAAAAAAGACTTTAAAAATCAAATGAGATTTGGAATAACAAAAGGTCCACAATATCAAGGGAACTAATGAAAAGAAATGCAAGGGAAGGTGGCCTAGCATTCCATATCTTAAATTGTGTTATAAAGCAACAATCATCAAAACTGCTTGGTATTGGCTAAGAAATAGAGTGGTGGATCGTGGAATAGATTAGGTATGCAAGACATATATACATATATATATCTATATATGTATGAGTATATATATGTGTATAAATATGTATGTGTGTGTGTATATATATATATATATATATATATATAGAGAGAGAGAGAGAGAGAGAGAGAGAGAGAGAGAGAGAGAGAGGGAGAGAGAGAGTCAATGACTACAGTAATCTACTATTTGATAAACCCAAAGACCTCAGCTTCTGGGACAAGAACCCACTTCATAAACTTTTGAGTTTTAAATTTTTCTCCTCCTCCCTCCTCATCTCCCACCCCAAGATAGTGTACAGTCTGACATAGGCTATACCATTGACAAAAACTGCTGGGAAAACTGGAAAAGAGTATGGAAGAAACTAGGCATAGACCAAAATCTTACACCCTATACCAAGATAAAGTCAAAATGGGTACATGATTTAGATATAATGGCTGATACTATGAGCAAACAGGGAGATCAAGGAATAGTTTACTGTCAGACTTATGGAGAACAGAAGAATTTATGACCAAACAGAAGATAGAGAACATTAGGAAATGCAAAGTGGATAATTTTGATTACATTTAAGTTGAAAGGTTTTTGCACAAACAAAGCCAATGCAACCAAGATTAGGAAGGAAGCAGAAGACTGAGAATTTTTACAGCCAGTGTCTCTGATAAGGGCCTCATTTCTAAAATATATAGAGAACTAAGTCAAATTTATAAGAATACAAGTCGTTCCCCAATTGCTAAATTGTCAAAGGATATGAACAGGCAGTTCTCAGATGAAGAAATTAAAGCCATTTATAGTCATATGAAAAATGCTCTAAATTACTATTGATTAGAGAAAGGCAAATCAAAACAACTCTGAAGTATCACATCACACCTATCAGACTGGCCAACATGATAAAACAGGAAAATAATAAATGTTGGAGAAGATGTGGGAAAATTGGAACACTAATGCATTGTTGGTGGAGTTGTGAAATGATCCAACCATTTTGGAGAGCAATTTGGAACTATGCCCAAAGGGCTATAAAAATATGCATACCCTTTGACCAAGTAATAGCACTTCTAGAACTGTATCCCAAAGAGATCATACAAATGGGAAAAGGACCCACATATACAAAAATATTTATAGCAGCCCTTTCTATGGTGGCAAAGAATTGGAAATTGAGGGGATGCACATTAATTGGGGAATGGCTGAACAAGTTGCGGTATATGAATGGAATGGAATACTATTGTGCTTGAGCAGGCTGACTTCAGAAAAACCTGGAAAGACTTGTATGGACTGTTGCCAAGTGAAGTGAGCAGAACCAGGAGAATGTTATATACAACAACAGCAAGATTGTGCAATGAATGACTAACTTTGAGAGACTTAGCCCTTCTCAGCAATGTAAGAATCTAAGACATCTCCAAAAGTCTCATGATGGAAAATGCTATCCACATCCAAAGAAAGAACTATGGAGTTTGAATGCAGATTGAAGCATACTATTTGCTCTTTTTTCCCCTTCTGTTTTGTTTTGTTTCCTCTTTCTTGTGGTTCTTCCTATTGCTTCTAATTCTTCCTTATAACATGACTAATGTGAAAATATGTTTAATAGAAATGTATATGTATAGCCTATATCAGATTGCATGCTATCTTGGGGAGAGAGGTGAGGAGGGAGGGGGATAAAAATTTAAAACTCAAAAGCTTATGGAAGTGACTGTTGATAATTCAAAATAAATTAATAAAAATAAATTAAAAATCAAATGAGAGAGATTGAGGAAAACTAAAAAGAAAAATAAGAATAATACAAGAAAAACAAGAAGACTATGAAAAGAAAGTCAACCAATTAGAAAAGGAGATCCAGAATCTTAAGGAAGAAAATAACTCCTTGAAAATCAGAATTAGGCAAGGGGAAGCCAGTAAAGTTATAAGTGAGGAAGAAATGAAAAAACAAAATATAAAGAATGAAAAAAATAGAAGAGAACATGGAACATCTCATGAGAAAAACAATGGATCTAAAGAACAGATAAAAAAGAGAAAACATAAGAATAATTGGACTACCTGAAAGTTCTGATCAAGAAAAGAATCTTGATACAATAATAGAAGAAATAATTAAATAAAATTGTCCTGAAGCATTAGAATAAGAGGGGAAAGTAGAAATAGAAAAAAATCCACTGATCACCACCTGAAAAAGATCCTATGAAGAAAACTCAGAGGAATGTTATAGTCAAATTCCAAAATCCCCAGATCAAGGACAAAATATTATGAGCAACAAGAAAAAAACAATTTACATATGGCGGTGCCACAATTAGAATCACACAAGACCTAGCAATGATGACACTAAAAGATCGCAGGTCTTGGAACACTATATATCAAAGAGCAAAAGAACTGAACTTCTGGCAGAAAATATACCCAGCAAAGCTAAGCATAATTCTAAATGGCAAAAAAAAGGACATTTGATCAATTGTCAGACTTTCAGGTTTTCGTTAAAAAACAAAAACAAACAAACCCTGAACTCAATAGATTTAACATACAAGAGCTAAGAGAAATATAAGATACATACCAATGACCAATTATAAGTGACTAAGGATAGAATGTTTACCTTTTAGGGTATGAAAAATGTAAAACCTGTGTCTAAGATTGTTACTAGTAATTAGGTAACTTATAAGGAAGATTGGGGTAGACCTGAGTATATTATATGACTTCAAAAAGTAAAACCATTCAAGTACAGCTAAAAGAGAAATTATCTTTTTACAAATAAGGTGCAAGAGGAAGAACCAATACAGAGGAATTAGATGGGGGAGGGGGGCTGTTAGTTCTAGAAACCTACTCTCATTGAGAATGAGTTTAAGAGGGGAAAACACATACATTTAGGAGTATAAAAGTCTCTAAATTTAGAAAGAAATAAAACTTTAAAGGGATAGGGAATGGGGAGAGTATAAAGGAGGGATCTTTAGAGGGGAGGGTGTGGGCATAGGTTAAAAAGGGGACATAGAAGGGGGTTTAGATTTAGGGTAATGGGAGGATAAGGGAGGGATTGCTGGAGTGGGAGTCAGTTAAGTAATAGGAAGGTAAGATAATAGGTAGAAATAAAGTAGAGGAGTTAGGAGAGATAGGAAAAAAGAGATATGCACAAACAAAACCAAAAAGATTAGGATTAGAATCTCTTAGGGAAAGTATATGTTTATATATATGTATGTATATATGTATGTATGTATATATATGTATATGTGTATGTATATATCAATACCTCTATATAAATATATCCAATGGTCAACTATAGCCTTGGGATAGTAGGTAGGGGGGAGGGAGGGGGAAAAAGAACAAAGTAAAAAGTGTACAGCAGAGAACAAAAGAAAATTTACAAGGAAGCAAAGAAAAGTTGGACAGCTTTCAATATAATGCACAGTACTTAATACAGGCTTTCTTGAAATGAAAAGTTACTATACATTTTGAATCCTATCCTATGTTCTGCTGTGCACATGACATTTTTTTGTTTTTTCCCTATTTTATATTTAAGTTTATAATGTTTCTTTTTCTTTTCTTATTATGTATTTAAGTTTTTGTAGTTGTCTAAAATGAAAATTTAAAATAAAAGTAGGAGTAAGGATTGCAAGAGAGTTTCCCCTAGCTTGTGGAGGAGGAGAGTGGAATTTGGCCCTTCATACTGCCCTCTTGGGCTCTCTTCCCTTCATCCTCATTACACAGTGAGAGAAACACCTTTGGCTTCAATCCCTTTAATTCACTTTCAGATACATGAGTCGTACAGAAGTCACTTATAAAATGTAATGGGAAACACTTGGGGTTAGTCCAGCCCAAGGCCTTACAGGGGTGGTGGTGGAAAAGGAGTGGGGTACAGCTGGCCCTACTTAGTGTAAGATCAGGTCACAGGAAAGATCCTCTGCTTCTCAGCAGAGGCCCAATGCCACCTAAACTCAAGACTGACACAGCCAATAAAAACATCTGAGACATGAGGGGTGGAGAGGAAATACAGCACTGAGGTACAGCTTGGGTATAGGTGGGACTTGGATTCCTTTAAAAGGCCGAGTTGTCTGGGCATCTTCATTATTTTCCTCCCTTTTCTTGGTTCCAGGAGACTAGAGAACTCCCCATAGTAGCAGGGTATATACAAACATCAGTGGAGCAAGAAAGGTATTAAGATCTCAGTCAGCATATGAAAGTACACATTATTTCCCTCCCAAATGGCCTCTTGCTCAATCCTTGGATTTCTCTTCTGCTGAGGCTTTGATGTTTAATCCATTTTCAGAATCCTGGGACAGATACTGACGGTCCAGCTCCCTCAGCTCTGGTTTCCTCTATTGTTTTCGGCCTCATCATCACCTCTGCTGGCCTCTGCCCCAGCCTCACTGCTGAGGGGGATAGGTGTGTCCCGAACCACTCTCCTCTCCACTCGGTATTCTTGTTGTCCCACTCGGGGTTTGCCCTGTACTAGAAACTCCCCATCATGATAGGTGATGAACACTTCTGTATGAGGGTAAGTACCGTACACTCTGAGCAGATCATCCTGAACAAAGCCTGGCAGCTCCTTGATGGGACTCCAAGAACGGCTTAGCCTCCCCCATCGAAGTTCCCCCGAAAAGAAACTGCCCTCAGACCACAACTCCTGTGATTGCCTCACCAGTCTCGGGTTTGACTGGGTATAAGATCCACCACCCCCACAGGAGAGGTAGTAGAGTGTAGGGTTCATGTGCTCCAAGGACCAGACTGGGTGCTGGTAGGGGTAATAATAGGAACCCAGAGTGTAGAACTGAGCAGCCAAGTCCCGGTACCTTGTCTGATCCCCTGTGAATAGTGCCAGGGGCTGGCTACTAAAGTTGTGCGTCTGAATGGGGGCTGACACCATTGAGCCAGGCATGTAGGTATAGGCCAAGAATTGGGGTTGGGCACCTTGGGAAGGCAAATAGCCAAAAGAATACATTGTCCAAGGCCCTCACACTGCTGCTACTTAATGTCACCACATTGCTTCAGAACGGTGTCTCTTCTGGAGCTGGGAGCAGAAGGAGAGAGGTTCAAGAAAAAATAGGGACCAACTATGGAAGTGATTGTTGAAAACTAAAAATAAATTAATAAAAATATAAAAAACAAAAGTAAAACAATAACAACACAAAAAAAATAGGGACCAAATCACAATGATGCCCAGTCCTCCCCCAGGGAGATCAGTATCAATACCAGAGTCCCCAGGCAGCTCAGACTTCTGCTGCCTTCTCTCCAGGGAGCCAGTAAGGCAGTACTTCCCACCTCTACCCCACCCTGCAAGGCACATACCTCATCATCTTCAGTGGGACCACCCTACTCCCCAATCCAGTAATTCAACCCCACAGGCCTACTCATAGAAATAGAGAACTTTTTTTACATAGGATAGAGGCATGGGAACCTCTTCCTTCTTTTCCTTGAGGGAGAAAAAGAACATTTGCCCTGTTCCTACTATCCCACCCCCTACCCTCATACCCCCTCACACTCACCAGTTCTTGTGGGTCTAGCTCAGGTTTCAGCGTGTGGGAGGGGAACAGTCCTTGATATTGGGATCAGAACTGGTGTCCCTTTCCCCCTTCCCATGAGAGTGTCTTTTGCCTATTCCCTCTTCTAGGTCATGCCAGGCTTAGTCCCTCCCACTTTGCCTGTTACTAGGCAAAGGGAAACAGTCCAGAGCCCAGGTGTATATCTGTAAACACAGATATGTATAGACATACACCTATGACTGGCTGGGATCCAGGTCTGGGTTGATGTCCTAACCTTCCTTCATCCCTTAAGAACTACTTCCCTAGTCCTTTAATCTGACATCTCTCTCCTTATAACCCACCCACTAGAGTAGGGCGTTAGCCTTTTTTGGGGTCATAGATCCTTTGGAAGTCTAGTGAAAATTATGGCTCTTTTCTCAGAATATTTTCATATATAATAATAAAATAAAATAAAATATACAAGATTACAAAGGAAACCAATTATGCTGAAATGTAGTTATCAAAATATTTTTAAAAGCAAATTCATTGACTCCCTGAACTCTAAGAACACAGAACTAGCATCATCTTTTATCATCCCTTGCCGCACCCAACCCTATTCCCTTGTCCTTTGGAAGCTGGAATATCACCAGCTTTAGATGACTTCTTTTTCCTACCTATTGGGGTTCCACTCAGAGTTTTGCTGGTAAAACAAAAAATGCTAAAAGAAAAAAAAAAGGTATGCAGGACACGCTTCTTAAGCTTAATTTGCACTATCAACATTTTTCTCCATCGCTTTTTTAAGTTTAGACAATCAACCAAATAATATATCAAGCCCTGACTTATAGCACTTACCTATCTCCAAGGTAAAAATTCTCTCCATGAAAATTTAACAATTAGCTCTCATGAAGCTCTCATGAACGCCCCTGGTTCTACCCAACCTTCAAGGCCCTATCTCTGCCAGGAAGCTTTGCTTATGCCTACACTTATCTCTACCTTCTTTATTCCTACAGTTCGTGCTATCTATATCTCTCACTGACCCCTTATCACATAAGGCCTTGAACTGCTTTATTTCCCTCATAAAGCTTCCCTCCTCCATTCCCATCCTGTCCTGCCAAGTCCTGTCAATCTTGCCTTTCCAATGTCTCCTGCCTCTATCCCCTCCTTTTTACTAGTGTTACCACAATTCTAATTCAGATGAGATCCTCATCTCCTGCTGGGACTATCATATCAGTCTCCTAAGTGGCAAGAGTTCATAACTGATTGACTTTGGGCTACTCACCTCTATTACCTCCTCTGTAAAATGAGAGGGTTCGACGAAGTGTCTTCTAAGGTCTCCTTCAACTTTAACATTCTGTGGTTCTGTTGATGTGGTTTGGGTTGCTAGGAACCCTAAGAACGACAGGGCACAAGGTGGAGTTGCCTGGAATGAATTCACACACTCAAGCCTTCTTTCAGTCAATTGGCAAGACTTATTGTAACATAATACTAGTGGGTAAAGTTCCTTCGGAGAACTTGCAATTTCATGGTGGTGAATCTAAAGCTTTATAGAAAAAGGGCAGCAAAAGGAATGCTAAGGATGCTAATTAGGTAATGCAAGAGTTGTCTTTGGCAACAGGTGTCAGTGATCTATGGATGGGAAAATTCAGGGAGTCAGCAGAGAAAACTTCGTTGATACCAAACATTGAGGGAGAAAAAAGCTTTTGTTTAGCTGCCAGAGGCATGGACCTTGGAGATTTGACGATAAAAAAGTTCCTGGGTCAGTACCCCTATATCTGTTCTGATAAAGGAATTACAGAGTTAAGCCTGCATGTGTTCTGCAACAAGGGAAAATTTTCTCATAGTGAACTGGGTTGCTTTCAAAGACATGGTCTTAGGGCTGACACCCGAGCAGATACCCCATTGCTATGATAAGTTAGTCTACTACGGAAGACTTTTTTTTCTTTTGTTTTGGGGGGGGAATGGGGAGAGTTAGGCAGTGGGGTTAAGTGACTTGCCCAGTAAGTGTTAAGTATCTCATGCCAGATTTGAACTCAGATCCTCCTGACTCCAGGACCAGTGCTCTATCCACTGCTCCACATAGCTGCCCTTATGAAAGGCTTTCAAAAAAAAGAACCGTAACTAGGGCAGGATGATTATGTCTTTGCACCAGGGTGCTGAATTTAGAGGGTACTGATAATAACTTATACTTCTTCAGTATTATGGTTTCAACAACTTGGCAACATTTCCGGTCATCTTGACTTACGTCTTGCCACTGGACTCTGATGACTCTGGAGGAGAGAGTGAGGCCGATGACTTTGCACGGCTCTGACTCCTTAAATCCAATTCACTTGCAAGTCAAGACATCACCCCGCTGAGGTCATTCGTCCCCTTCAAGAATGAAGGACAGAGAAAAAAGAATGAAGGACAAAGGGGCAGACAGGTGGCACAGTGGATAGAGCACTGTCCCTGGAGACAGGAAGACCTGAGTTCAAATCTAGCCTCAGACCAAACACTTGGCACGAGCTATGTGACCCTGGGCAAGTCACTTAACCCCAACTGCCTAAAAAAACCCCAAAAAACAAACAAACAAACATATACCCCAGCAACCAGAGCAACAGCTTAGCAGCAAGTTAACAAGAACAATTAGTTAAAATAAGAGGCTACCAGATGATTGGCTAAGGGGAAGCTGCTTTCCCCTAATCAACCAAGGACATCTATTTTGCCACTTGCTCTGGGTTCAGGTTATGGTATTTGCTCCAGGAGAAAAAAATTCCTAGGTAAAGCTCTGATTTGAAGAGAACATAGTATGGTGTACAGACATGGCATTGGGGACCAAGAGCCCTGGATTCTAGCCCTCCCTTTGTCACTAATCCACTTGGGTAAACAGGGTCATCTGTTGTGAGTTGCATTTCATTAGCTTGAATTTGTTTTTGTTTTTAATTTTTATTGATATATTTTGCTTTTAAAACACCTTCATTTCTTTTACTTTTTGTTTGTGGTAAGGCAATTGGGGTTAAGTGACTTGCCCAGAGTCACACAGCTAGGAAGTGTCAAGTGTCTGAGGCTGGATTTGAACTCAGGTCCTCCTGATTCCAGGGCCAGTGCTCTATCCACTGCTCCATCTAGCTGCCCCTAAATCATCTCATTTCTGAATACATCCCTCTCCTTCTCCTCCCCAGCATGCTATTCCAACAAATTTTTTTTTAAAAGAGAGGAAAAAAGGAGCAATTTAGCAAAATTAATGTATACACCCCAAGTATGCCAGTATAAGCAATGTTCCATGCACATAGTTCCCAACCTCTGCAAAGAAGGGAGGTAGGTGCATTTTTCCTCATCTCTTTTCCAAAGTCAATCATGGTCATTATAATTATGAAGCATTCTGGGGTTTCTTTGGTGGTTCTTTCCATTTGCATTGTTTATACCATGTCTCTTGTTCTGCTTACTTTATTCTGCAAAATATCATTTTTTTCCCATGCTTTTTAAAAAAACAAATTATTGCTAGCTTTTGTTTCACACTGCCTCTATTTCCCCGTGAATCCCTCTTCCTCACCTTTCCCAGAGAGCCATCCCATATAACAAATAATTTTTTTAAAGAAAAAGAAGAGTAAAAAGAAATCAACAAAACCAATTAATACTCTAAAATAATCTGACAATACATTTAATTTTCCACACCAAGGGACCCCTCAAAGAAATGTGTGTGTGGGAAAGTGTCTTCTTATATCTCTTCTTTGGGACAAACCTGTTCATTGTACTTTTTAAAAATTAATTAATTTATTTATTTTTAGTTCTCAACATTTACTTCCATGAGTTTTGAGTTTTAATTTTTCTTCCCCTCCTACTCTTCCCCTCCCCCCAAGACAGTGATGTAGGCTCTACTTATACCTTCATATTAAGCATACTTTCCCATTAGTCAAGATGTAAAGAATAATTAGAACTAATTGCTCTTCTTTTCCTTTGTTGTTTGGTTTTACTGCTTCATTCTCACAGTTCCATTGTACTTTGGTAATATTCATTTTTAACTGTGTCATGCTTGTTCCTTTCATTTATACAGATGTAGTCAGAGTGCACATTGTCTCCTCACTTGGCATCGTTTTCTCATGGTTCTGTGCATTCATCATATTGCCATTTCTTTTTGTTATTATTGTTCATCTGTGTCTGACTCTGTGACCCATTTGGGGTTTTCTTGGCAAAGAAAAACACTGGAGCAGTTTGCCATTTCCTTCTCCAGATCACTTTACAGATGAGGAAACTGAGGCAGAGTTATGTGACTTGCCCAGGATCACACAGCTAGTAAGGGTCTGAGGCCAGATTTGAACTCCCGAAGATGAGTCTTCCTGGGGTCACCAGGCCAGGTACTCTATCCACTGTACCACTTAACTGTCCCTGTAATTTCTTACAGCACAGTAATATTTCATTTCATTCACTTAGCCACTGATGGGCATCTACTTTGCTCAGTTTTTTGCTACCACAAAAATCGCTGCTACAAATACTTTGGTGTATGTAGGTCCTCTCTTTATGTCTTTCACCTCCTTAGGGTATATGCCTAGCAGTGAGATCTCTGGATCAAAAGGTATGGGCATTTGTGTCACTTTTTTTGTTGTTCTTAGGCTAATTCCAAATTGTTTCCCTGAATGGTTGGATCGATTTACGGCTCCGTCAACAGGGAATCATCGTGCCTGTCTTGCCCAAGACCCTCCAACAGTGGCTGGGAGCTCTTGTAATGTACTCATGTGTATTAGGAAAGGGTGGGTGCCTTAGCCCTGAGAGCCTGGGATAGGATCTGGGGGTCCCCCGGCTTTCCTGCAGCTGCTGCAGCCTCAGGGAAAAGTGCTGCCCGCAGAAATGCCCCTTTACCCGCACACTCCCTTCGCATGCCAGGCCACCTCAGGCAGGTGCCCATATCAAAGATGGCGGCAGCAGCGACAACCGACCAGTCACCTGCTCCAACCTGCGACTCCAGGGGGGCGGCCCGAGATGGCGCTGAGCCAATGGCTGAGCCAAGGGTGGGCGGTGTTTGCGGTTGTGGGGGGAGTGGAGGGAGTGGAGGGGGGGGTGGGAGTCTGCGCGCAGGCGCTCTGCCCCCGCAGTGTATGCCTGCCTCCAGGCCAACTGATGAGAGATCGGTATCGCCGAGGTGAGCTGGGCCGCTCGGGGAGGGCATGCTCCGGGGGTGCCCCCACGGGAACGCGGGGAGCGAGATCCTGGAGGTGGAGGCACGGAGTGGGGGAGGGGGTCCCCTGGTGATGGAGATCCTGGCGGTCGGCGGTGCATGGGCTGCGAGGGGCATCGGGTTGGAGCTCCTATTCTGGGGGATGCACCCCGCCCCCGAATGGGGTGCAGTGCGAGGCCAGAGGGGCGACCCTTAACCACGCTGATCCTCTGTCTCTTCATTCGTAAAGTGAGGATGGTAATACTCTCGCAGGGTTTTTCCAACTCACCGCTGCCTCATTTGAAATTAAGACTAATTTTAGGAAGTAATTAGGGAGAGGAGGTTTGCGCTCAAGTAAGGAGGGCAAAGAGAGCTCTTTGCCAAGGGGTCAAGTGAAGGGAATTGTTATGCACCAAACAAGGGTGAGCCTCTATGGGCAAGTGTGTCTAGGCTTGGAGGGAACAGGGGAAGATGGCAGGAGGGTGGTAGTCCTAGAAACCCACCTGATGCCACTTCAGTTGCTGTCTTAGAGAGGGGCCAAGGAGGAAATTAGGAGGAATAGTCTCCTCTCCTGCCTGAGCTCGCATTCTCTGTCTCTCTCTCCCTCTCCCTCCCTCCCCTGTATGTGGACCCCTGGTGCAAGTTTTCTGCTCCTAGAAGTATGACCAGGAAAACCCCTCCTTTCATCTATCCTCATGGATGGTGGGTGCTGAGTGTCCCCTCTTTGCTCACTCAGCTGGGCAGGAGAAGGCACGTGACAGAGATATGCTGAGGTTCTTGGAGCTGGGAGACCTGAAGCCAAGCACCAAATCCCAGGCAGGTGTGAGGTCTTAACCGAGTTTGTTGAGGTCTTCACTTCTTTGAGAAGCTCAATTCAGTTCATCAAGTGTTTATTAAATATCTGTTCTGCCCCAAGCACTCAAGGGACTCCGGATGCTGAGAAACTGGCCCTGCCCTCAAAGATCTTATATTCTATTGGAGAGAAACAATTCATACATAAGAGAAGGAAGGGAATAAAGCAGTTATATAGGCCTAACATATACCACAACAACCCTCCGAGGTAGGTGCTGTTATTATTCCCAGTTGGGGAAACTGAGGCAAGCAGAGGTTAAGTGATTTCAGTCCAGGGTCACACAGCTACACAGTCACACAGTGCCTGAGGTTGAATTTGAACTCAGGTCTTGCTAATTTCAGGCTCCATCCACTGTACCAGCTAGCTGCCTCATAAATAAACACAAAATATTCACAAAGCACATACAAAGTAATGGGGGGGGGAAGAGAAGGGGTAATGAGGCATTAGATATGGGGCCCTTAGTGTAGGCTTCCTGTAGAAAATGACACTTGAGCTGAGGCCTGGCAGGAAGCAGAGATTTGAGGAGGCAGAGGCACAGGTATGGGGAGACAGCCTATGGAAAGACCAGAGATGGAATGTTGGATCTTGGAGAAGTGCTCAGGAAAGAGGGGAGAGAATAGGGTTTTTCCACTGCATTAAGCTGTTCCTTTAAACAAAGCAAACCCTAAGACATCTTCCTTTCCCCAGCTGTCTCTTGAACTATTTCCTGCTTCCTTGTAATCATTCTTATTCTGAGGTGGAGCCTGGGTGTCTGCCAGGCCTTTAAGGAGATCCTTTGTTACCAGAGTTGAGAGGAATGCTTAAGTGAATGATTCTACCCACTTTTTCCCTTTTCTCTCTTGAGCTGGAAGATACCTGAAAGGTGAGATATTAGAGTGGGGCTACTTTAATTTAAACAAAACAACCCAAAGCCTTGTGTCTTTTTCACTTGCAGCTACTGTTCTCAATTCCTTCCTAAATTTAGTTTAAATCTCAAAGGAGGCTGTGGTATATTGGAAAGAATTCTGGATTTGGAGCCTGAAGACCTGAATTTGAATCCTGACTTTGCCCCTAACTCCCAGTGGGACCTTCTTAATCTCTCAGTTCTTCAATTTCTTCCTCTGTAATATGAAGGGTCAGAGTAGGTGAATGGTAAGGTCCCTTTCAGCTCTGGTTCTATTATCTTCTGACACTTGGCTGGTTAAAAAATTAGATCAGATCAGAATTATCACAAGATCAGATAACTCATACCTATGGCTATGGGGAAAGGGTTCTCCATCAAACAAGAGGTCAAGGTAACATAAGCACAGAGAAGCATAAACAGAATGAATACAAGGTAATTAGGCAAGTCTTTCTGGGGTGATGCTTGAGCTGGGTCTTGGAGAAAGTGAGCTGGACTTGAGGTAGAAACACGTGGGAGTTGGAGTGCTACCTGAGAGGAACAGTGAAGTCCACTTTGTCTACTCTAGACCATAAAGTTTGGGAAGGGAAGTAATGTATAATGAATCTGGAAAGGGAAGGGCACGTTGTGAAGGTTGTTAGCAGTCAAATTTGTTGTTCAGTCATGTCCAACTCTTCACAGCTCCGTTTGGGGTTTTCTTGTCTTGCCCTGGGTCACACAGCTAGTGAATGTCTGAGATTGGATTTGAACTCAAGAAGGCCTGGTACTCATCCACTTTGCTACCTATCTGCCCTAGAAGTCAAATAGAGTTTATATTTTATCTAGAGGTAATGGGAAGCCCCTAGAATTTTTTTTTGGAGGGGACTACTAGAATTTGAATAGCAGAGTGACTGGTCAGATTTGTTTAAGGGAATCTCTTTGGCAGCTTTTTTGGAAGATGGATTGGAATGAGGAGAGATGAGGCTGTGGGACAGATGAATTAGGCTATTAGAGTCTTGGCAAAAGGTGATGAGGGTCTGAACTACATGGCAGCCATGTAAGTAGAGTAAAAAGATTAGATAGGAGATGTGGAGGTAAAAGTGATAAGATCTGATATGTGATGGGATTTGTGGGGTGGGAGGAAGTGAATAATAGTCACAAGATTCTGAAGTGGGGAGACTGGAAGACTAATGCTTGCTGAATTAAAAAAAGAGAGTCCCTGCTTGTTGTCAAGGAATTTATAATCCAATAGGAATGGGTAATGGCTAAGGCCATACTGGCACTAGTTGGACACTGGTCTCCTATGCAAAGCTGGCTTACAGTGGTTTGCACTGAGTAATTCTGTTCTTCCTCAGGAGGCAAAGATGGTCTGGCCTGGGAAAGGGAGTAAGGAGGCAGGTGCACTGGCATCCCTGATGCACTGAGGCCTGAGGCCGTGTGCCATGGCAGCTCAGCCCCTGGCCTGGCTCTCTAGCCTGCCCACCGCTGTGGTCTATGGTTCCTTGTCACTCTTTGTCTCCATTCTACACAATGTGTTCCTGCTGTACCACGTGGACACGTTTGTCTCTGTGTACAAGATTGACAAGCTGGCCTTCTGGGTTGGAGAGGTAGGTATTCCACAGGTTCCTTGGCAAGCTAGGTCTATGGTGTGGGACTGGAATTCAGGTCCTCTGGCTTGAGCTGGTGCCCCTTCCACTGGGTCGTGTGGCTTCCCCTCAGTAATTTCTCAGGCTCTAGAGCTGTTCCCCAATCAGGAGGATTATACAAGACAATCCCTTGTAGAATCCTAGGAACTTGTAGCTGGGAAGAGACCTTAACTTTGAGGAGTGACGGAAACTTGCCTCCAGACAGACCCTGGACTGTCCTGGGGTACTTATCCTCTTGGCTTGCCTCTTTCTCTCCCGAGCCTGCAGTGGCTAGCCAGCCCATGCTGGTGATCAGGCTTCTTCCCAGCCCTTAATCTTCCTGTTGGCCCTGAGCCATCTGTGTTAGGACATTGCCATGTATAATGGTTCTTTCTTGCCCCTCTTTGCAGACAGTGTTTCTCCTCTGGAACAGCCTCAATGATCCACTCTTCGGCTGGCTCAGTGACCGTGTCTTCCTTAGCTCCACACCTAGGTATGTGGCTTAGGGACAAAGGGCTTTCAGAGCTTGAAGTGGCCTTATTGATGAAATAGTCCAAATTTTTCATTTTGCAGATGGGGAAACTGAGGCCCAGAGACAGGAAATAAAGGGACTTACCCAAGGGACTCACACAATGAGTTAGTGGCAGAACCTAATTTCTATGGCTCCCCATACAGGGCTTTCTCCACTATTTTGTGTCGCCTCTATTTTCATTACCTTGTGAGATCACTCTCTTGCCCAGGGTCCAGGGTCCCCTCCATGTTACTTGGAGCCAGAGGTGGGCCCCTTAATCTTCTGAGTCCTGTGTCTCTTCCTCCCGTTACCTGTATGAATCTGGGAGAGGAAGGAAGAAGGCAAAAGTGGGCCCTTTCTAACTGGTCACTTCCTCTAGTCCCCAAACTAGATGATTCCTCCCTGTATCCTTCCCTCATCACTTTCTTCAGGAGCAGGGGTATACAGTAAGGGATGGGACTCTTGATTCTCCAGGCGGGAATGCCTGCAAGGATTTGAGAATGCTGGGTATGGGCCCCTGGCCATAGCTTGCTACCGCCTGATCCCTGGTGTAGGGGATGGCTCATCAGGCTGGGGTCTTGCCCGAGTCCCTGAGCCTATCTGAACGTGTATACCTTCTGTAAACGGAGGTTCTGTAAATTGTTCCCACATTTACAGGAGGGTAGAGCGGAGGAGATGTGGGCATGCTTGTGTAGGGAGGGAGGTATCCTGATGCCTTCTTTCTGTCCTTTCACAGGGCAGGGGCTTCAATCCCATCCAAGGATGTGGTTCTGACAAGGCTCCGGGCTCTCAGCCGGCATGGCCCACTGCTGGCTCTCGCTTTCCTGGCATTTTGGGTGCGATGGGCGCCCACGGGGATGCAGTTCTTGCTTTGTTTGTGTCTGTATGATGGCTTCCTGACCCTGGTGGACCTCAATCACCATGCTTTGCTGGCTGACCTGGCCTTGTCTGCCCATGGCCGAACACACCTCAATTTCTACTGCTCTCTCTTCAGTGCAGCTGGCTCCCTCTCCGTCTTCGCCTCCTACACTGTGTGGAACAAGGAAGATTTCTCTTCCTTTCGTGTCTTCTGTGTGGTTCTGGCTGTCTGCTCTGGGCTTGGCTTTACTGGAGCCACGTGGCTACTGAGGCAACGATTTGAGACAGACAGGAGGATGCTGGGGGCCCTGCATTCAGCCTCAGAAGGGTAAGTGGGTCATTGTATCCCTGATCCCCATTTGATGAACCACATGTTTGGTACATGCCCACTCTGTTCTGGGAATACAGAAACAAATGTGACCTTGAGGAGTTTAGGTGCAACTGGGAAGGGACCTTGTGAACACAGGTAAGAGTCATATAAGGTAAACTGAGATAGAAGAAGCTGTTAACAGCCAGGGCAGTGAGTGACAGAAGGCTCCATGGAAGAAGAGGGATCTGAGCTGAGCTTGAAGACAAGAGTGGGGCTGAGGAGTAGGAGCATTTCAGAAATGGGCAGTAGCTTGGCTCTGAGATTCCTGGGTCGGTGGCCTGAATTCTTTCTTTTCTCCAATTGCAATATTTTATTATTTACTTTTATTTTTTCTCAATGTGTTTTATTGTTAAAGACACATTCATTTCCAAACTTATCCCTCCCCACCCCTCACATTCATTGAGCCATCTCCTTTAATACAGAATAAGAAAGAAAAAGGTGGGAAGGAAAGTCATTCAATAGAATCAGCCTGCACAGCAACTGACTCCCCACCTCAGTAATGAAGAGAAAGAGATGCATTTGTTCAGATCTTCTCTGGGCCAAATGTGGTTGTGATATACAGCATTCAGTTTTGTTTTTTCATCTCCAGATTGTTGTAGAGTATATTTTACTGGCTCTTTTTCGCGCACCACTTGATAAAAGTCTTCCTCTGCTACTCAACTCGTGTGTCATTTTGATGGCATAGTAATATTCCCTTATATTAATAAAGCAACATTTATTTAGCCATCCCTTACTTGACAGCTTTTGTTGCTTGGTTGTTTCAGTCATGTCTGGCTCTTTGTGACCCCATTTGGGGTTTTCTTGGCAAAGATACTGGAGTGGTTTGCCATTCCTTCTCTAGCTTGTTTTACAGATGAGGAAACTGAGGCAAACAGAGTTAAGTGACTTGCCCAGGGTCACACAGCTAGTAAGTGTCTGAGGCCAGATTTGAACTCAGAAACCCTATCCACTGCATCACTTAGCTGCCCCACTTGTCTATCTACTGCATATCCAATTCTTGGCTATCACAAAAAGTCCTGCTGTTGCAGAAATCTTGCATATATTTTTGTATATATGGGGCCATTCTTTCTGTCTTTGGTTTCTCTTTTGGGGGATGGGGGTGGGTGGGGATATATCCCTAGCAGTGGAATCTTTGGGTCAAAGGCTATAAGACTTTCTGGTCACCTTTTTTAAAGCATAATTCCCAAATGCTTTCCAACTTACAGCAGTTCCAACAGTGAATTAGTATGCCCCTTGAACACGGATTATTTCCATCGTTTGTCATCCTTGCCAGTCTGCTGGGTATGAGGTGAAATCTCAGTTGTTTTGATTTGCATTTCTTATTTAGTGATTTGGAGCACTCTTTCATATGGTTAAGAACCTGCCATTCTTTCAGGAACTATTCATTCATATCCTTTGACCACGCATCACAGTGGCCTGACTTCTAATTCTCTGTCTATGACTGGCCTAGTAACAGGTTGCTTAGAAGGGAAGAGGGAGGAGAGGACAGGGCAGGCCAGGGAAAGGATGGAGAGAGGAAGGCAGGCAGGTTTGGGGAGAGTGGGAGAGAAAAAGGGAGAGAGAGCTGGAGCTCTGTGGGTTCAGAAGGCATGGGAGGAGATATGCAGTGCCCTGCTCTGTCTCTCTAGCCCAGATGTGGAGAAACCATCAGCAGATGAGGGGGAAAAAAGAGTCACCCTGGGCGAGTACCTCCAGCAGCTGGCCCGCCACCGAAACTTCCTCTGGTTCGTAGGCATGAACTTGGTGCAGGTATGGACAGCCTTCTTGCCCTTATCACTGTGTTCCTGTCCTGGTGTGAGTACTGTGTCCTGGGGTGAAAGCTGGGCTGTGGAGCCCAAGAAGGGGGTGGATATGTGGCTTCCCTGGTGGGGAGAGAGTAAGACTGATATGGGTACAAGAGGAAGCCTGGGATGGTAGGAGGAGGATTGGATTTGTGGGTGGAAGACTTGGATTCAAATTGTGGTATCTCGACTTCCCCGTACTACCACTCATCATCTTTCAGCTTCATGTGAAGTCTGAAGGATTTGGTCTCCATAATCTTTCAAATCTTTCAACTCTCTTCCAACTCTGAATCTCATAACATGGTCTATCCCATGGTGTAGTGAGTGAAAAGCATTGATGTGAGAGCCAGCAGACCTACTAACTTACACTGTAATCTTTGGGCAGGTCACTGTGCCCATGAGGCTTCATTTTCCCCTTCTGTTAAAAGAGGAGATCAAACCAGGCTGAAATAGCCACACTACTTTGTGGTCTGACAAAATCTTGACAGCCCAGGAATCTGTGCCAAAGACTCCAGTTATGAAAATTGGGTTCTAGGTCAGGGCCCCTGGGGACAAAGTGAAACTCAGCTCATCCAGGCCTACACCAATGCATCTGCTCACAATGGTCCCTCTGGGTGCTGAGGTCTAGTTTATCTCATGCATCCCCAGTCCCACCAGTTTCTTAGCTCATGACAGTGCAAACTGAGAAGGTACATCTGAAAACACTGATATTTTATGTTGTACCAGTAAGATTCGAGTCCTTTAATAAAAACTGGCCAGTTTCAATAAAAACCATGTGACTCTTTTTTTCATTCCTGTGACTGTTCAGCACAATTAGTCAGTAGAAGGTAGGACAATTCCTGTTCAGTTTCCAGCATTTCCCATCTGTTTTGGGAATGACTTATTTCATACAAATTTAAACCTTTTCCTCAGGGCTGATAGGTAGTTGACCAACACTTTTTTGCTCTTTAATTGGCCCATTTTACTTTTTTTTTCCTTCTTGGTGAGGCAATTGGGGTTAAGTGATTTGCCCAGGGTCACACAGCTAGTAAGTGTTAAGTGTCTGAGGCTGGATTTGAACTCAGGTCCTCCTGACTCCAAGGCCAGAGCTGTATTCACTGCACCACCTAGCTGCTCCGTTAATTGGCCCATTTTACAAAAAGGTGGTCTGTCCTCACAAAATCTGTATCCACTTCCCATGATGACTACCTTTAAGGGGCTCCTTTGGGTGGGCCTGCCTCTGGCTGGCTGGCCTTCCTTTCCCAGCTCTTTCTCACCTGCTTCCCTCCTCATGGCGGCTGTTGGATTCCAGGTCTTTCACTGCCACTTCAACAGCAACTTCTTCCCTCTCTTCCTGGAGCACCTGCTGTCAGACCAGATCTCTCTCTCCATGGGCTCCTTCCTGCTGGGTGAGTGGCAGGATCTGGACATATATGGTGGGGATGCGGGGTGCTCCCAGGCTGTTAACACAAGTTAACTCTCCCAGACGAGACGTCTTATTCCTAGGATTCAGCCCCTGTAAACCCAGGGCAGTAAGGTCCTCCTCAAGTGAGAGTGGTAAGAGTCTCATCTCTTGGAGGACCTTAGTAGCAGAGCCTTTGCCTGGATCTGATCCTCCCTAACTGTTGACTTCACTTCTCAGTGGGAATGAGATCTGAATGAAAGGCAGCAAAGGGGTTAGTGAGCTGAGATGTTAGGGACTTGGCTCTCAGGGTTTGTTCAGGTAAGATTGAGTAGAGGCCTGGGAGGAGTTATCCTGAGGCCCTGCCTTTCCTCTTCCTGATGTGAGGCAGGTGGGGAGGGTGGAGTTCCAGGCTTCTTTGGCCTTATCGTGGAGGGCCATTCCTGGGGTCCATGGTAGTCAAGGCTGGTCCTCAGTGTCTAAGGAGGCATTATTGCCCTAGGCTGAGGGAGGAGCGCCGGAAGTACCAAAGCATCTGCCCCAGGCCAACCTAACCTGGGAGAATTTTTCCAGAAGCCTCTTTAGGGCCTTCCTGAGCAAAGGGGGAGAAGCCTGGCTCATCATAACTTATGGAGGCTTTTCACTAGGGGTGTCCTACATCGCTCCTCATCTCAACAACCTCTACTTCCTGGCACTGTGCCAAAGGTGGGGTGTTTATGCAGTGGTTCGAGGGCTCTTCCTTCTTAAGCTGGGCCTCAGTCTACTCATGTTGCTGGCTGGACCAGACCACCTCCACCTCCTTTGCATCTTCATTGCCAGGTACACAGGGACCCCTCTAGTCCCAGTCTTCCTGACCCATCCTTGACCATACCTCTGACCTTTCATTCCTGTGCTAATCTTAGCCTTGATAAACTCTCCACATTGGCTTCATTCACCTCCTCCCCCCATCCCCCAGCCCAAGACCACCTGTTTATTCCTTTTCTCCTTCTGATGATGCCATGGTTTCTACCCATCTGTAGCAACCGTGTGTTCACGGAGGGTACCTGTAAGCTGCTGACCCTGGTGGTCACAGACCTGGTGGATGAGGACTTGGTGCTGAACCACCGGAAGCAGGCTGCTTCAGCACTTCTCTTTGGGATGGTGGCCTTGGTGACCAAGCCTGGCCAGACCTTTGCCCCACTGCTAGGCACTTGGCTGCTTTGCTTCTATACTGGTGAGTGCCCTGCCATTGGAGAATAGGGGTGGGTGGAGCTCTCTCAGGTTTCCAGTGGCCTCTAGTCCCAACTAGCTAGGCCATTAGACTCTAGATGGGGATGAATAGGGAATATTGTTGGCTTTATGGTATCTGCAGCTAGGCCTGCCCTGTCCCTCCTTTAGATGCCAAGCAAAGAGTGTTCAGGGGAGGATAAAGTTTGCCTTGATATTTCCTTTCTCTTGTTCCAGGTCATGACATTTTCCAGCAGCCCTTGCTGACCCCAGTGGGCAGTGCAAGGCCTTGGCTGGATCCCCCTGCCCCACCTCGGGCACCGTTACGTCAGGGATGCTTCTACTTGCTGGTACTGGTTCCCATCATGTGTGCGCTGCTGCAGCTGGTCACTTGGTCCCAGTTCACCTTGCATGGGAGGCGCCTCCATATGGTTAAGGCCCAACGCCAAAGTCTGTCCAAACCCTGGGCTTTGGATATTAAGACTGTCTGAGGGGCCTCGGGGAAAGGCAGACTATGGTGCTGGTTGCCCAACTACTCTTTTACCTGAGCCAGGAGCCGGGAACCTCCTTACCCAGGCTCCCCTTTTCTGGCGTTGTTTCTCAGGTACAGCAGGAATGTGGCCAGGGAACGAAACCTCTAAGGTTTTTCCTTGGACCCACATGCTGAGGTCACAATTCTCCATCCTTCCTCTCACCTCCTGGCAGTTAACTCAGGGTGAAGGCTATGAAGTGGGTCCTTAGGATCTCGTCATCAGCTGTCTGCATCCTTTGTCGTGTGCCCAACACGCAGATATTGGAGCACTTAATTTCCCCCTGCACAGATTGGGCAGCTGGGAGGGCTGGGGGCGGGCCCCTTCAAAAGCTTGGCTTGGCCCTGGCTGCCTGGGCAGAAGCTGCAGGAGGAGAGGCTATTCTCTGTAAGGATGGTCAGGTTGAGGATGTCAGTGGGTCTGCATGGCTGCCAGAACTGGCCTGTGACTGAAGGTCATTTCAAATCCTCTCTACTTTGTGCTCCACTCATCCCAGGAATGGGCTTATTTTGCAGGGACTCATTAAAGCCAGTAAATCATTTTTGCTCCTTAGGCCTGTTCTGTCAGGGGCAGGGGTATATTGTGATTGGCTTCTGCATGGGGGCAGTTGGTCCGAGGGACTCAAAGCTGAGAGAATGGAGAGGAAGTGTGAAACACTAAATACCAGCCAGGGCAGAGCCAAATGCAGGGCAGTGGAAAGAGCCCTGGATTTGACATGGGAAATCTTGTTCCTTACTCAGTATTTTCTCCTGTCTGGGCCTCTTTTCTTGGTTAGTAGCTGTCAAATGAATGAGGGGGTCAAGTAGATGAGCCCTAAAACAGATTCCAGCCCTAATCTATGATATTACTTGTCTCATGCAGCACCACATGTGAATGGAAGCAGGCAAGAGCTGGTCGTCTGCCCTCTAGTCAAGGGAGCAGTGGTTGTCTCCTCTTATGTGACTTGTTGACTATAGAGAGAACCAGGCACTAAGTATCTATGGAACAACTTTATTTAAGTACACTGGGCACCACCAGGCAACGTGGTTAGGAAACAGGCTGTGCAGGGCAAAGGCTGGGGCTGAGAAGGAAGGTGGAAGGAAGCACACTGCAGTTTGGTTGCCACATTGCTTTCACACACACCTGGCCCCCCAGTGGTTGGGGCCTTTGGTCATGGTGGAGTTGGGGGAGAGGACACTGACTGGCATCTTTGGAATTTAGAAATGGGATAGGCAGGGGCCTGCTACTCGTCAAGGGAGAGCCACAAGATTATTCATAATGCCATAAGTATCAATGAAGGCAAATAGGCACCAAGGGGCTCCTAGATTATAGGCCACTGTTCAGGGAGGGGTGGCTCAAGCCAGATGCTTCAACTGAAATTGACCCATAGCAGGATGTAAAACCATCTCATTGGATGAGGAATGGGGCACTGCCTTTCCTTCTTTAGGCATGAGAAGAAAACATCTGCTGCCTGGAACCCCTGGCTTGAAGGCCTAGGTTTGAGTTAGGCAGTGCCAACTCAACTCCCTAGTATTCAGATCCCTCTTCCAGTGATTTCTTTCAGTTCTCCTGGGTGGTCAGCAGCAGGTTAGGGGCCCAGATTGCACCCTCCGTCAGACTCCTTCCACCCCAATTTCTAGCTCTGGCTTTCCTTCTTTCTTTGCTAGGCTTGGGACCCATGGTGAAACTGAGGGCACAATTCAAAACCTAAGGCTGGCCAGGCCATTGGGGTCCCAAGGGCGGTCTGCTAACCCAGTCATCTCTATGCAGCCAAGAAAGCCAGAGACCAGTCTCCTTTGCACCTCTGCCTGAGAACCACCCCCAGTGGGGCTGCAGGGATAAGGCACCTTCACTTCCTTAACTTGAGACAAGCTACATAACCCCAGTGAAGGCACTGGCACCTGATGCACCAGAAAAGCCCACTTCGAAATCTGCCTGGTGATAGAGCTGTGAGCAGGAGGAAGGGATTAGTGTTGGCAGGAATGCCTTTGCTCCAAACCTTCAGTTGCAACTGGTCTCAGTGCCCACGTCTGCTACCTCAGTAGGATACTGTTAATGGTACTTAGTGGGACCTGCTGGGTCCCCTCTCTCTCCAGGGGCTAGGCTACTACGCTAAGCTTAGGTGCTGTAAACATTAGTGTATGGAGGGAGACTAAGAAAGGCAGGCAGTAAGCAACTAGGGATCTACCCTTGCTGCTGCCTCCTCCTCCTTGGCCCGCTTAGTGACTAAGAGGTTACCAAACACCTTAATAATAAATAAAACCATATGGCAAATAGGATTTCACTTAAACTGCCCTGAAGCAAAGATGGAGGAAAGCACATTTAATGTGCCTGCAGCTGCAGCTTCCCCAGCTTCCCTCCTCATCTGGCCTACCTGTCACAAGTGCAACTTGATCCAAAAGGCAGGTTAGGCCCCACCCTGGCTCCTTAAACTCTCTCCTCTCACTTTTCTCCAAGGTTCTCCATGCAGAGGAAGAACAGCAGCAAGGATGTTGTGAGGGACGTGCTTAGGTGGCCTGGGCATCTGCACCTTATCCCAGCCAGTGAAGCCCCTATCTTCCACCAATTCCCTCCTGTGGTCCTGACCCTTAGGTAAACCCAAAGATTCCTATCCTCTCACCTATTCCCCTAACCCAGGGATTTCTGAAACAGCTCCAAGTGTGCTTCTCATTCCACAAACAAAAACAGCAAGAAAACCAAACAGTTCCTGCACAAGTCCCTATGATCAAGTGGCCAGCAAGTAACAGTGAGGAGCAAAGGGGAAGGTGGTAGGCCTGAGCTCCAGCCACCTGGGAGGTGGTCGGGGAGATGGTGGCAGGGCCTTCCTCTCGGGTGGTTCAGTTTGCCCTCCTCCTCTCCCTACAGTAGTAAACGTAGTCCCAAAAATAAAGGAAAAGGACCAATGGACAAAGAAACAGGGCACTCCAGCCAGGTGTTCTCCCCTCTCAGGAGCAAGTTAGTGGTCAACCCCTGGGTCCCAGGCTCCATCGTGGGGGAAGGCACCAGGCTCCCCGGGCCACACTGGCACACGCACATACACACGCATACATACCCACACCCACATCCACACATACAGGCAGATCCTCACACACTCCAACTCAAGAAAGCGAGTTTTAAAGTGGAGTTAACTTCGAAGATAGGTGAAACAGACGTCCGAACATTAAAAGGTTTTCCTATGGATGGATCGGGCACCGTCTTCTTCATATTCCTTTTTAGATACCCACATCTTCTTAAAGGTGTCCAGAGAGGCCAGAATGGAACCCCTGAGACAGAAGGAACCCAAAGAGGCAGTATGAGCGGCCTCTGAAGCCCAAGCTATATCTAAGCTAAAACCAGGTTAAATTGTTCCTGAGCTCAATTAGGCCTTAGCCTTCCACCTATTCCCATAACTACTCACCCAATCCATGTTGAATATAGTCTCTCCTGAGGAGCAGATATCTGAGAAGAGGTTGGAAAGAGAGTGGTGAGGCTCAAATCCCTCCCTTTACCTCCCCAAAAGGCAGCGAGTGAGAAGAATCAGTTTCTGAGGGAAGGCTCACTTGGGGCAGGTAACCTCTCTGGCCAGCAGGGTAGCCAATCCAGAATATTGCACAGGCTATACTCAACCTGGTACCTACTACAGGGCCTGGAAAGCCTGGAATGACCTGTCGGGAAGGCCCTATGCTAGAGATCTAGGTAACCCACCTTGGAAAAAGTCAGGCCCTAATGATGGACGTCGTGGCAGGTGCTTAACTTCTCAGTTGGCTATCCAATCCTTTTTCCTCTAGTCTCCATATTACTGTGCTGACATAGTCCTCATCACATACTGGGGTGTCCCCTAGGCTGGGGGCAAAGGGAGCAGAAAGATACCTGCAAACTTTACCCTCTTTTTCTGATAGCAGTACCAAGAGGACCTCAGAGTCACAGGTTTAAGAACATGGCATTTGGAGCATAAAGGGAAGACAGAACAGACATCATTTGAGGCCTGGACACAGGGGCTTGATCTAGAATCTGTTCGTCTGGGGTCTGAGGCTCCAGGGCAGACCATCCCCACATGGGCTGTTCACACTCTCAGAAGCCTATTCCCATCCTTGTGCCAAGCCCAGATTTCTCCTACCCTGATTTTCACATCTTTTGGAGCCAGTTTCTTCACTTCACTCAGCAGTCTGTCACCAAAACCTACAGAAGTCAGGAAAGGCAAGTCTCAGGTGATTTCTCTGGACCCCTGTGACCACAAGAGCTGAGCAGCTGGTTACTCAGAGGGTGATGACAAACCTTTGAACAGGGTGGAACCTCCTGAAAGCACGATGTTGGAGAAGAGCGTGCGCCTCAGGTCCATGTCAGACTTCTGGATGGCAAACACGAGCACTTCATGGATGCCCTCACTCTCCTCGCCAATCAGGTCTGGCCGAAACAGAAGCTCGGGGGCACGGAACCGAGAGGGGCCAATCTGCAGAGCAAAAAGCCAGCCTTAGAGGAAGCGGCAAGGGGCTGATGTAGTAGCTATTAACCTCCTGTATCCCCAGGATACAGGAAAAAAAAAAGAACCACAGGGCTCTTCTCAGTGCTCAGGGAATTCAGAAAGCCCAAGCTTAGGAAATAAACTGTACAAATATATTAAATTAAGTAGGCCTTGAATGCAAGCCCCTCGGGTAAGGTTAAGTCCTGCTAAGAAAAGGAAACTGATCTCTTGCACAAGATCTCTGAGTCTCTACTGGAAAGTAACTCTTTTCTGCTGTTGAGAGAAGCCTAAAACCTCAGCCCGGACACAGATAAAAAAAAAATTCTTAATTGTCAAGATCAATCATCCCTCTGGCCCACTGAGAACAACTCCTGAATATTTCTGTTGATGGTCCACTTTTCCCTATAAGGAACAAAATTCAAGATGCTTAAGCATCAAGAAGTAATAGAGAACAAGGCTGAGTTTCTACTAAAGCTGGTCTGTGATTCTATCTGGCTCCTAGCACCACTGTCTCCTGTTTCTGGCTTCCCAATGTTTTTGGTAGCCCAAACTACAGAATAACGTTTGCTTCAGCATTAAAGCAGCTTTGAATTTCCATGGACTTGGCAAAGAAGCTGTTTCTGTTTTAGACCTGGGCCTCCCCATTGGTAGCCCTATTTTAGGCTAGAACTCTGTCCCCAGAGGTTCTCTAGCAGGTTTGTGTCCTGTCCAGATACCTCAATGGTGCTTCCATCAGGCAGGTAGTACTGAGCCTTCTCTGTCTCCAGAGTCTCATCTTTCTGTGGGTTTATGGACAGGTAGCAGGCTCTCTGTAGGGCAAAGCACAAGAGGGGGTTAGAATCAACAGTTGTCATATCAGAGTTACGAGTGCCCCATGACAGAAGCCCACAATCTGTAAGGTTAGCCTCAAGAGCAGGCCTTTCTATGAGAAGAAATGGCTCTGAGTCTAAGGTCTTTCCTTTTCCTTTCACCAGTTTTCATCATTAGTCTACCCCTTAACCACTTAAGGCATGTGGCTCAGGTGGGTCTAGGAAAACTCCCAGTTCTTCCATAGCCTTAGCTACCATAAGCATTCTCCTTCCATGTGAGGAATGTGGTCTTGGGGTGCTCCCTCACTCCTGTGTCAGGTCTT